TGAATGTTATATTTTTCCAAATAAAGGTCTTATGCCTATCTTGTGTTGTGGGTTTTGGTTTATTTGCTTGCTTTTGGTTTGGCCAATATGAATGGAAATTTTTTCCCATTTCTACTTCTAACTACTTAATGTTATTAAATAAACTTATTGTGGGTTTTTGTATATTTATCTTGTAGTTAATCACAGTAACAATTTCTCTTATTTAAAAAAAGTTAACTAGACTTGGCTTTTCTGAATCTATACTAATATTAAGAGGAAAATAATAACCTAGCATGGTGCTGCATGCTTGTCATTCCAGTATTCTGGGAGACTGAGACAGAAGGATCGCAAGTTCGGGCTCAGCTGGGGCACCTTACTGACTTAGTGAGACCCTGCCTCAAAAATAAAAAAACAAATTAACAGGACTGGGAATATAGCTCACTGTCAAGGCCCAGGATTCCGTCGCTAGGACCACACACACACACACACACACACACACACACACACACACACAGAATAAAGTGTTTTTGTCTTTTTTTTTTCAGTATTTGTACTCACTCTTTCCTTACCTCATTTTTTCAATTTAAGCTACTTTCTTTTTTATTGCTATATATTTGTAACACATAGTCATTGCATTCATCTGAGGGAACTGGTACATACGCGTGTGAAGGATTAATCACTGTTGTTTGCCCTTCCCTTTCCTGCTGTGCTGTCTCCCCCATCTTCAGATCCTTGCTGAATGTGTCTGTTGTAGGATTTTTTTATTTTTATTTTTATTTTTTTGGTACTACAGACTGGACCCAGGGCCTTGCACACGCTAGACAAGGGCTCCACCACTGAATCGCGTCCCCAGCCCTTTGCATGTTCAGACAGGGTCTTGTTAAATTGCCTAGGCTGGCTGGAATTTAAATGCTACCTTTGCCTCCCAAAGCACTGGGATTACAGGCACGCACCATCAAGTCCAGCTTGTCATAGGATTTTTATAAAGGTTTTTGTCATGTTTTTTCCCATTTTGCCACTGTTAATAGATCCCTAAAATGGAACAATGCTCATCAAATAAGGAAACTTGAATTTTCAAAAGTGATAATTTCCATTCCAACGAAAACCTTTTAATATAGCTTTTTAAATATTTGAAGTTATTGTATTTAATATCAAATGTCAAATGAATCAACAGAAAACATTTTTTAGGGCCCTTGTAACATTTTTCTACCTTTACAGAGTTTCTTTTCTTTTCCTTTTTTCTTTGTTTTTCTTCTTTTTGTTTTTGAAACAGGGTCTCACTATTTAGTTCAGGCTGGACTTGAACTCACTTATGTAGCCCAGGCTGGCCTCAAACTTGCCACAATCCTCCTGCCTCAGCCTCCCAAATGCTAGGATTACAGGCCCGTAGCACCCCATCCAGATCTTACATAGTTTCTAAAATCCCATTTTACAGACAGTCATACTATATAAGTAAAAAATTCAAAGGCAGCATACTTATAAAATAAATTATTTGGGAAGACTCTAGTTTTCTCATATTTGTATGATAAGTTGAATAGAAAAAAAATTTTGACTAGCTAATGATGTGTATCCCAGGAAAAAAGCACATCACCATTGCCCTATAATGTTTTATACCATTTTCAGTAAAGGAAATCCACTTTTCTACTTGAACAGTGTATTAAAACAATTTTATGTTTATGCTTCCCTTTCAATTTTTAAAACAGAAATTAATGGCCATTCTTGAGAAATATGCAAAATGATTGCAAAGCTATGCAAAAATATACAAAACTCTGACATACAAGTGCATAAGACAAAAGATACACTTTAAACTGCTCGAAAGTGAGTTTAACAGCAAGGTTGCTCTTGCTTAGTGGGGAACGAGAGGGTGAAACTATGGCACGTACCTGATGAAATGCAACTGTTGTCTTTGACAGCCAGTGGGTTTCATGCTTTATTTTGACTGACAAGTGACAAAAACTCTCATTCAGGATCATGGTTCACAAAAGCAGCAGTAGAACCAGAGCTCCCCCAGGATGCTTTGCAAAATAAGGGCAGATTAAAATCTGCCCAGCTTTCCCCAAGACTCTTCCAGATTTAAGCATGTAGCATCAGTTCCTTTGTGAGGTCATCTTTGGCGGAGACTGCAGACTTGATGTCAGCAAGTTTGGGATCAAGAACACACGTTTAATTTCAAGATCACTGGAGCAGAAATTACCCTCAAAGGAATTTTGCGGAGTTTCAGGTGACTACATATTTTTGCCTGTAGGAAAATTGAAAAAGAAATGACTCTACTTCAGCCTGAGGAAACTTTTCTTCCCCTAACACTGAAAAGTTAATGTGATTGCCTCCCCCAGTATCCCTTCCCAGAGCAGCAGTTTGGACAGAAAGGCACATAGTGGCTCTGAAGTTTTCCTAATGGCATGTAAGGCTTTGAAGGGAAAGAATTACCTCACTGGGTTGATCAAAGGTATTCACCAAATAAGCCAACCATGAAAAACTCATCTGTGTCCAACTGTCCTAAGTAAATGTTCCTATGTTCCTTCACTCTCAATATTCCCTGTTCTACCCAGTTTTGTTTTCAGTGTGTGTGTGTGTGTGTGCGCGCGCGCGCGCGCGAGTACACACACACACACACACACACACACGCGCGCTTGGCTGGCTTCTGTCTATTTGAAGGACGTTCAGATGCTCAAGGTTCATTTTCTAAAAAGCCAGCAAATTTTTGTCTGGGAAAAGTACATTATTTTCTACTGCTCTTCCTTTATTGGAAATAAAGTTCTTGAAAAAGTGATGACTTGAAGCCCTGAGTCTGATAAAGTTGATTTTTTTGTGGAAATGGGTCAGGTTTACTGCAGAAAGACCGGTAATTGCTTTTGCCATCAGCATGTGTTTAGATAGCCGCAAACACACATTTTTTTCCCCTCCAAAGCCACAAGCACAGATGCGCTGTCAAAAATCACAGAGCTCTATTTCTATGCCAAATTATTAAGATTCTTTCTCTTATGGAAGCTTTGCTCTGGGAATTCCATTATAAAGTTATCACTTGTCTTTGCATGTTCAAAAGGACATTGCAGCCAGGTGTAGTGGTGCACACCTGTAATCTCAGCTTCTTGGGAGGCTGATGCAGGAGGATGGCAAGTCTGAGGCCAGCCTGGGCAACTTTGAGAGAACTTGTCTCAAAATGAAATGTTTTTGAAGGGTTGGCATGTAGCTGAGTGTAGAGTAACGCGGGACTCAATCGCCAGGACCACAAAAAATTGAGAGAGAGAGAGAGAAAGAGAGATTATAAAATGGAATCTTTGATAGTATCACTGCAACACAAAGAAGGAAAAGCAAAAAATTCAAGGAGTGATGGTACTGATAGGTCATGCTAAATACAGAGCTGACATGACAGTCCCTCTGTGACCATCATAGAAGCAATGGCAGTATTTCTGGAGTGGGTGGTGTCCTTTCATGAAGGAACCATTTCAGTCTCCTTCCTCTGCTTTGAGCCACAAGCCAGCTTTCCCATCTCCGGAGTATGTGGCTTCTCAAGCTCTCCAAAGTTACCTGTGCACAATTTTCTTTTCACTTGGGTATCTGATAAGCAAGCATAAAGAAAGAAGAGTTTTGTGCTCGAGCAAACACAAATTTTGATAGCATTTTCGTCCTCACTGAATGATCTGTTTTCTCCATAATTTTTTTTTTGTTTTTCTGAAAGTAGAATCTAATAACATCTCACTGTCTTTTATTTCTCACCAAATTTCCCCATATATCTCATCTCTTTTTGGAGAGATGAGACGAACTGTCTTGTAGGAGAGCCTACCTCTTACATTTGTCTAGTTGCTTAGGGCGGGGGATCTTGTTTAACCTCTTCTCTTCCTGGTATGTTCTGTAATCTTGAAGTTAAGTACTAACAGCTTGCTAAGATCCAGATTAAACCTTTCATGTGATAATAGGTGATACTTTCAACTTTGTGGATTATTTCAGGAGGCACTGAATGTCAGATTGTCCCACCACCATTGGTACTAAATTGGATCTGGTGGTTACCATGGTACCAGCCGGGTCTCTCTTTTGTAATGATTTGTTTTTCCTTGTTCAAGTAGCAGTTAACCTGTGGGTATAGATTAATTAATCTGTCAAGTGGATCAATATATCCTATCATCTTTTCTTAGTTTCACTGACATATAATTGCCATTTGGTAAACTGCATGTTGTAAAGTGTATGACTTGGTAAGTTCTGAAGTGTACATACCTGTGAAATCATAATAGAGTAAAAATAATGAACATCTTTATTACCTCCCTTCCAAAAACATTTCCTCTTGCTCTCTCTTCTTCCTCTATCCCAGGCAACCACAGATCTACTGTCACTATAGGTAAATTTGCATTTTCTAGATGGAATCCTATAGATTCTATAGATGGAATCCTATAGTGTATACTTTTATTAAAAAATTTGAGTTTTCTCACTCAGTATAATTATTTTGAGATAGATCCATGTTGTAATATATGTCAGTAGTTTGTTCCATTTTAGTGTTAAATAAATTCTACTGTAAAAATATTATAATACTTCTTTATCCCTTCACGTGTTGGTGGAAATTTGAGCTCTCTTTGTGTTTGGGCTATTTCAAATGAAGTGGCTATAAATATTTATTCATAAGTTTTATATAGATATATGATTTCATTTCTCTTGAACAAATACCTAGCTGGATTATACAGTACATGGTAAGTATATGATTATGTTTTAAAGACACCGTTCAAAGTGATCTTGCCATTCTATATCTTCACCAACCATGTATGAGAGTTATAGCTGTTCCATGTCCTTGTTGACACTAGCTATAGTCAAATAATTTTGTCATTCTAATCTGGATGTAGTGATATCTCCTTAATGGTTTTAATTTGCATTTCTTAGTAACTAATGATGTTGAGCTATTTTTCTTTTCTTTTTTTAATTTGGTGTGGTACTACAGATGGAACTCATGACCTCACTCATGCTCTGCCACCGAGCTACACCTCCATCCCTTTTTAATTTTATTTTGATACAGGTTCTGGCTAAATTGCCCAGCTGATGTTGAATTTATGATCAACCTCCCAAGTAGCTGGGATTACAGGTAGGTGCCCCACACCAGCTACTTGAGTATCTTTTCCTGTATTTATTTACCATCTGTATATTTTCTGTTGAAAAGATATATATTTAAGTTTTTGTCTTTTTTTTCGTATTTTTTTTTTATTATTGAGTTTTGAGAGTCCTTATATGTTCTGAACATAGGTGCTTATCACCTCTATGAACTGCAAGTTTTCTCCCAATGTGCTGTTTGTCTTTTAATTTTCTTAGTAGTGACTTTCAATAAACAAAAGCTCTTAATTTTGATTACATGCAATTTACCAAGTTTTAATTTTATCAATATGCCTTTGTTGTCACACCTCAGAAATCTTTGCTGTATTAAAGGGTATAGGGTTTTTCTCTTGCTTTCTACTAGGAGTTTTATAGTTTTGGCTTTATATTTTAATCTGTAGTCTAATTTGAACTAATTTTTTATATGATTCCAGGTATACACCACACATACATCAAACTGTTCCAGTGTCATCCATCGAAATATTATTTTTCCAACTGAATTGTTTTGCATCTTCTTTGAAAATCATCCATGATTTTCTATTTCTGAGTACTCATGTTGTTCTGTTGAGGTAATGTAATTCTTCAAACTTTGTTTTCCTTTTCTTTTTCTTAAAGCTGATTTTTTATATTCTATACCTTTTGTTGTTCCTTATTAACTTTGGAATCAACTTGTCAATGTCCACCAAAAAAACCTACTAGGATTTTAATGGAGATAACATTGAAGCTGCACATAAATCTGTGGAGAATTGATACACTGACAATATTACATCTTCTGATCCATAAATAGTATAGTCATCTGTTAGTAGTATAGAGGGATAGATTCCAAAACTTCCTCTCTAATACCAAAATCCATGGACACTCAAGTAAATTTCTTATATAAAATGGCATAATACTTGACATTGCATTAACATAATATCGGTATATAACCAACAGTTGGTAATATTCAAATATTATGTTAATGAAATCATGTTAAGATTACTTAAAATACTTAATACAATGCAAATCCCACATAATTAGTTGTTATAGTGTGTTGTTTAGGGAATAATGACAGGAAAGAAGTTTACATGCGCTCTCTGCAGATGCAATTTTTTTCCTGAATAGTTTTGATATGCAATTGATGGGGTCCATGGACATAGAATCTGCAGATGTGGAGGAATGTTTGTCTCTCTCCATTTATTTAGTTCTTCTCTAATTCATCTCAACAATGTTTTACAATTTTCAGTGGACACTTTGTACACATTTTCATCATAAGTATACCTAAGTATTTTATTCTTTCAATGCTACTGTAAATTGTATTGCTTTTTTATTATGTATTATTTCTAATGCATGCACATCAGCTGACTTGCTTTATATTGACCTGATATCTAACAACCTTGCTTAATTCACCTGTCAGTTCTAATTGATTTTTGTAGATTCTTTAGATACCCTTGCAAATGGTCATGTGATAGTTTTATGCCTTCCTTTTAACTGTCTGTTTCTTTACTCGCCTTAATGCTCTGGCTACAACCTCCACTATAATAACTGCATAGAAGCAGTGAAAGTTTTTCCTGAGGGATATTGGTCCATCTCTTACTATTAATTATGATACAAACTGTATCTTTAGAGCTTTCCTTTAACAGGTGGAGAAGGTCCCCTTCTATAGCTCCTTTGTAAGCTTTTCTTTTAAAAAATACTGATTGATTTTCAAACTCTAAGACAACTTTGTATTCCTGAGAGAAACCTCTCCTGGTCATGATTTTTCTATTCTGTTGGATTCCATTTGCTAAAATTTTACATAGATTTTCTGCATATATGTTCATAATGGATATTGGTGCATACTTTTCTTTTTCATTTTTAGTAGAATTTAAATCTGATTTTGGTATCAAAGCAATGCTAGTTTTAGACAATGTATTGGAAAGTATTGCCTCATCTAATTTCTGAAAGACTATGTAAAATTTATTATTTCACTAATAAAAACATCTTTGCAAGTTTTTATTTGCTTGTTTGCTTGCTTTCAGAGTTAGTTTAAGTATAAAATTTAACTCGCTCAATTATTTTGGTTAGTTTCTTTCCCTGGTCTTAGGTAATTTCTTTACATGCATGTGCAGTATCTCTGGATATACAAGTAATATTTCCCTCCAGAACTTTCTTGATGGAGGTCACTTCTTTTCTGCCCTGCAAACTCTGGGCATCTTAGCTTTTTGGACTGCCAGTTCTATCTCCTAAGCTCGTGGAGATCTCTGAGGGCCAGTTCCCTGCACCAAAGCCTGGAATCTGACTCTAAGCAATAAGTGTGGACATTCAGAGAGCTCAGTTTCTTTGTTTTCCATCTCTGAGGGATCACTGTGCTCTGTTGCCTGATGTTCAGTGTCTTGAATGTGGTCATTTCATGCACTCTGTCAGATGTTAGGTGTGTCAGGTGGAAGAGTATGTAGCATTCCTGTTACCACACTCTTAACAAGTCCCATTAACATGTTCCTTAATATTTTCATCTCCCATTAATGATTGTTGCATTAATCAATTGTTTCATTAGGTCTTGGAGATATTTTTTAAAACTTACTTTCAAAAAAATTAAGCAGTATCCTTCAGTAAAGAAGAACTTTCTTGCATCAACTGGAAATGGGTTTCCATTCCTTGGAGAAGGGCAGAATTAATGTCTCACTCTTTCTTTCCATTCAGAATGAAGAGCTGTAATAGTTGACTCCAATAGGGTCAAATCAGTGTCTCCTTTTTTTTCTGTTTCTTTTAGTTAATTTTGAACATCACTACAGGCTGGAAGTGTTTACTTATTATGTTACAGTCACTTGATAGTCATTATCCCTTCCATGGCTCCCATTGTACCAAATTTGGCCAGTGGAAGCACTGTCAGTCTGGCTTTTGCACCTGGATGAAACATGCCCATCAGGCGGAGAAACTTTGCTTTGGAGCCAGCAGCTCTAAACAGCTTTAAGATTTATCATGTAATTTCTATGCTCCAGAGCTGAAATTGTCCATCTCTTTAAGAAGTCCTCCTGGTTCCCCTTCATAGAAAATAGTATTTATAAATGCAGGTCAAGGCCCTCGTGGATTTCCCTGTTGTGGGGGTGTCAGCAGAGAAACCTATTTTATTTTATTTTATTTTATTTTATTTTATTTTATTTTTTTGTTTTTGGTTTTTCTCCGGTACCAGGAACCGAACTCACGACCTTGCGCTTGCCAGGCAGGCGCTTTGCCGCTGAGCTAAATCCCCAGCCCCGAGAAACCTATTTTAGATGCTGGACCAGACAACGGTACTAAACCCACTTTACCCTGCTGTGCACAGCAGCACTTCACACCAGCAAAGGCACCTTTGAATAAATCCTGGGATGAAATGAAACTTTAGCGTATTTATTGTAAGTATTTTTTAGGATGAATTTTAAAATCAAAGAAAATGATTCAGAGGGATAATTAAAGGATGTTTTCAAGGCTCTCCAACACTCGCATAAGGACTTCTTATGGCTTAGGACTTCATTTTAGGTTAGAGCACCTGCTCTTGCTTAGTTAAAGAACAGGTCCTTATTACCTGAAAAATGTAAAAAATATATAATACCAAAATCCCACCCAAAAAGAAAGAAATTGGAATTTGGGGGGATATGTCCCAGCATCACTGTTTTTGTTTTTAAATTTTTATTTTGTTTAAATCTTCTCAGTTGATCATAATGTAAGCATTGAGAATTATTCTCTTAGGGTCTTGATGACATTTAAGAATGCAAACATTATTGAAATAAGTAATAACTGAAGGTGTGATTGTTTCTTTTTACACTTCACTGCTGATGCTAGACAGAAAAGAAATAGCCAGATATTTCGGGTGTCTAGACAATTGCTGAGAGGAACAATAGAAAGAAGAGATAGCAATGTGAGCAAACAAACTGCTTTCTTGCTGGGTCAGATCCAGTGGTCAAGGCTTGTTTAGGAAAGGAGCAAAATTTTATAAAGAAATACTTGTTTGACCTGTTGGCTGACTGAGGGAGTTAAATGCACAGCTTGGATCATCCACCTCTTTTATTCCTGTCATTGTGTTCCTTTGTTGGCCGCCTGCAAGCGCTTCTGCTTTCAAGCGACTGGGAGCTGGAATTCATGGCAGTTCCCCACTGTCCTTTTGTTCAGTTGCACAAAATAAATTTCCAAATTAATCATATCACTGTCTCCCTCCTATAAAGGCCTGAAATCTGAAACAAGGGAGTCGCTCGTGTGGTGAGAAATGGTTTTCTCACTTAATTTGTCAAACTTTCAACTGTTCATGCCTTCTCTAAGCAGAGCTGCAGCCAACTCTTTATATTTCAGAACTCAATTATGATTGAGTGAAATATTGTTTCTAAAAAGCCACTTGACAGAAGAAGGTATTCTAGAAGGTTTTCTTCTCTTAGTCTATTTGGGCTTCTAAAACCAAATGCCATAAACTGGGCAGCTGATGAATGACAGAAATTTATAACAGCTCTGGAGACTGAGGAGCCCAAGATTATGGCACCAGCTGATACATTGTTTGACGAGGGCTCACTTCCTGCTTCTGTGCCTATTTCCTGTGTTTTCCCATCTTGGAAAGGTAGACCTTCAGTCCCTTCTTACGTTCATGAAGCCTCCACTCTCATGAGCTCATCACCCCGCCAAAGCCCCACCTCCTGATTCCCAGCAGAGTGGGCATTAGATTTCAACCTAGGCATTTTGCAGGTCATCATATTCAACTCAGAGAACCCTCCCAATTTCTTAGTATGTAAATATTAAAATATGCAGAAAAGTTTTAAAAAGAATAGTACCATGAACACCTGCACAGCCACACCTGGTTGTCACAAGGGGAAGCGTTTTGCCATGTGTGTTACTCACCAACTACTCCTGACTTCGTGGCTTAAAAAACGGAAATGTATTTGCTCATAATTTTAGAAGCTGGAAATCCAAGACAAAGGTGTGGTGGGGGTTGACTCTACGACCTTTCCTTGAAGATGGCCATCTCTCCTGTGCCTTTAAATGATCCTTGCTTTGCATATTTGTGCCCTAATTGTTTCCTATGGGACACCAGTCAGGTTGGGTTATGGTCTACCCCAGAAAGCTCATTTCATTTAGTCCTGTCTTTAAGGATTCTCCTCCAGATGGATTTGCATTCTGAGATACTGCTGATTAATGTTTTAACATATGAAATTGGAGGATGAATTTACCCAACTACTTTATCTCTCTTCCTGTCATGTATAAGCATATTGATTTGATGCTCCATTTGAAAATATGCTACAGACCTTATTATAGCTCACTATAAAATGCATCACCTTGCATCTGCTGAGAATAAGAGTGATCTCCACCTAGACTTAGTGACACACACGTGTAATCTCAGCTCCTTGAAAGGCTGAGGCAGGAGGGTCAAATACTTGAGGCCAGGCCAGATAATTTAGCAAGAAAGAACTTGTCTCACAATAAACGATAACAAGGACTAGAAATGTAGCTCAGTGTTCCTTGGATGCAATTTCCAGTATTAAAAAAATAAAAGAAAGAAATAAAAAATGGTCTGCTGCATAACCTTAATGCTGTATCATGTTTAAGAAAATAAATGAGTATTTAAACCTTGTTCAGTTTTACTCCAGTGGCC